GAACCAGCAAATGGAAGATTTCTCTTGGTCTCTCAGATAAAATGAAAATAAACATATAATGCAAGCTGAAACAAAACCACATACATACTAAAAAAACTATGCATATATTAATTTAATGTTTATACTTAGGTTACAATCCCAATGTATACTATTATGCCTATGTAAATATTCCAAAATTCAAAACAGTGTGAAACAATATCTGGTCCCAAGCATTTTGGAGAAGAAATATTCAGGGCCAACGTTGTGGCTTACGGAGTTAGACTACCGATTGCAGTGCCAGCATCTAGTACCATAATTGCTGACTCAAATTCCATCTGCAGCCAATCCAACATCCTGCAAAAGTGCCTAGTAAAGCGGTGGAAGATGGCCCAAGTGTTTGGGCCATTGTACCCATAGGTCAGAGTTGGATGGAATTCCTGGCCCCTGGCTTCAGCCTGGTCTAGCCCTGATTTTTTCAGCTATTTGGGGGAGTGAGCTTATAGATGAAAGATCTCTCTCTCTGTAACTCTTTCAAAAAAATAAATTTCTAAAACTTATTTATTTGAAAGGATGACAGAGAGAAGGAGGGAAAAAAGGAGAGATTTATTATGCTGGTTCACTTTCCAAACAGGTCTCATCAATGGGTGGCAGGGGCCTGAAAACTTGGGCCATCTTCTACTGCTTTCTCAGGTACGTAAGCAGGAAGCTGGAGCGGAAGTAGGGTAGCTGGGAGGTGAACTGTTATCAATAAGGGCAGCCTGAAAAGGTGAAGCCACAGAGGCTGGCCTAACCAGCTGTACCCCAATGTTGGCCCCCACACTTTGATACAAAGAAAAAAAAAACATTCAACCTGAAAAAAATTCCCAATCAATATCCAAAAAATTGTTATGGAGGTCCCACATACAGGTCTGCTTGCTTTTCAAAAAATTTATTTTCCAGGCAGACAGAGAAAAAGCTAAAATAGAGAGAGAACTCCCTTCTGTGGGTTTATTCACCAAAAGCCCACACACTGCTAGGATAGGGACAGACTGAAGCCAGGAGCTAAGCACTGGGAATTTAATCTGAGACTTCCACATTGAGCCTTCAGCAGGAAGCTGAACTCAGGAGGGAAACTTGACCAAAAAACTCCAACACTGATTTGGAACACAGGTATTTTCTACCTCTGAAAGTTTATTAAGAACCAGAAGTTGATGTCTGAGGAAAAGGCATTTAATAGAAACATTTCCAGCAAAAACAAAGCCACTTTATGCAGCTCTACCTATAATCTCTAGGTTAGATGAGAAACCGTAATATGATTCAAGTGATATAATTTCAAACTTTTCATGAAGTCAGGCTAGCCTTTAAAACAAAATGTCAGATGATTGTGCGTCTGAAGCAAAGCACTACTAAGATTCTCTTTTATTCTGCAAGTTATACAGATGGCTACAACTGCAAAACTAAACCCATCCAGGGATCACCATCTGGATGACTCCAAACAAGGAAGCAGGAAAACTTATTCAAAAAACATTAAATGCTCACAAAGTTACCAAGCTGGTTTCTGTGAGAATTACACCTATATAAATGCATATTAAAAAGACTTCGACTTTAAATATATGACCTAACTGGAGGAATAATGTGAGAGTGTTTGAAAAAGTTTATGGAAAAAGGAAACTAAAAGACAATGTGTATTTCCCATGAACTTTTGGACGAGTCCTTGTACAATCACCAAACTTGTTAAATGTAATAAATTGTCATCATTTGAACTATTTCTGGGAGGATAAACTTACATGCCTCCTTCTAAAACAATACACAAAGTTTTAAATTTCAAAAAGTTCTGTTCATTTCTCAATCTCCTAAACATCAGCCTTCATCTCTCAAGAACAAAGAATTAAATTGGCCCCGCCTTCTCGTAAAGTGATGCTATGCACCAACAATCTCGCATTTCTCTTTTCCTCCAGAAAGACCAACCAACATGTGTGACTTGAACTGAGTATAGATGATTATGAAAATTCAGCAGTCACTTAGGAAACACTGAAGTTCCAGGGGAAGAAAGAAATTAATTCCAAAAGGGAAAAACTACCATAACAAAAGACGCTTCCTTCTAGATTCAAAGGTTGTTTCCTTTGGATTTAAGAATTTGACTCCCAACATTTTTGGACTCAACTCTACTTTTTAGCATAACACAGTTCGATGAACTCAATGGCATGTAAAAACGAAAAAGAGATTCCAAAAACCTGAATTACATGAAACAGTTGTTAGGTAGGTAACTTATTCTCCTGACAGTTCTGTTGAGATATATGTCTTGATATACTCTAAACCATGAGTTCTCTGCAGTGATAAACCTGTGACCACATTCCAATGCGTAAACCCATATTTTGATGAAACTTCAAAGTGGAAAGGAAGTGTCACAGAAGCAGCCCATGTGAACCCAGTCCCAGTGGCATGCCAGTGCGGGCTCTTACTAGGCTGGGTGGGGAGCACTGGTACAGGTAACCCCACTTTCTGCTGCAGCTTCACATCCTGTCCCTCTACACAAGCATGTGTATCAGAGGGGCAGTGAACCAGTAATAGACACTGTAAGTCTTTGAACTTTGCCTGGTTTGTCTTAGAAAGTAAATAATTCACTCACAAAACAAACACTCTGTGAGTGATGCTTGACAAAATCTGGACTCTGTATGTGTCAGAAAGTCAGTGACTGTTGTAGACTTTTATCAAGGCTGCAGAAAATAACATTACATTCTTCAAGAGTTTGTATAAGGAACTTAGAACGAATATAAAGTTGGCCAGTTAGGAAATTTCTTGCACTTACTTAAATGAGAAGTCTCAGCAGTGTCTTGAGTCAGCCTGAAGCTTTGCTTCATGCCATTCCTCCGTTTCATACACATTAGACACCAACCATGACTAAAGCAGAGTACACATAATCTGACAAGGATGACATAGAGGACCAGGTGTGCCAGAGTGAGAGAAATGCTAAAAGGAACAAATTTCTAAGTATCATGAGAAAAAAACTGCTCATGCATCACAACCTCAAAGCCAAACTAGCAAGGCATTTGATTTAAATTCCTCTCAAATGTTTTCAATTCAGAGGCTTAAAAGTTATATCATAGGAAAGCTGATGATATGATTTAAGTCAAAAAGAAACAAACTTTATTTGCTACATGGAATAGGGGCTAGCAAAGTTTTTGGTAAAGGGCCAGTTAGTGCATTATTTTAGGTTTTGCTTGTTGCATCATGCAGTCTCTGCAATTTGAAAAAAAAAATCCAAGGAGGGTGTTGTGACATAGCACCTACATCCCATATTGAATTCTGAGTGTCTGGGATCCAGTGCTGCCTGAACTTGCAATCCAGTTTCCTGCTAATGTGCCTGGGAAGCAGCACATCTGGCCCTGCCAGTCAAGTGGGAGGTCTGAATGGAGTTCCTGGCTCCAGGCTTGGCTTGACCTAACTTTGCTTCTGTAGCCATTTGGAGAGGGAATCAGCAAAAGGAAGCTCTCAGCCTCTCAAATCAACCTATTTTAAAGATGTAAAGGCCACTTGTTCTCAGCATGCAGGTGCATTTAGAAGGGGCACGCTGACTGAAAGGGTAAGTGATCAGATCTTACAGGGCCAGAAGGACTTGTTCACTTTCCTCTCCTTCCCCTTCCATTCCTGGAAGGCTTACTCTCATCTCAGAATTCCCCTGAAAAATTAGGCTCTAATATTCACAGTTTATACATAGCTTTACTAGATTCACAGCTTAAAATATTTGTTTTACCTCTCTTTCATCATCTTGAAGAAATTCATACTAAATTAAGGTCTAAAAAATGATCATTTAAAATTAATACTAGGCTAGCAAGAGGCTTTACGAAGCTTCAAGTCTGTCTTGTAAACACAATAAATAATGGTACCAGACAGCCAGGTTGGGCAGCCCAGCTTCTGCGTAGAAGCCCCAAGCTGCCAGGCACAAGCAATCAGATTCAAAACAGCAGATCTCAAAATCAGCTGGTGCTTCTCCTACCCTTCCAGAACATCTTGGACTATGATGCAAACAGCTTGGAGCAAGAGTTCAGTCCTGTTAGTGTATCATTTCTACCATTAACTTAATTTAGGAATTCCTCTAACACCATGTCCCAGAGTTACCCACAGGGGATACAGTCCCAGACCTATCAGTGGATGCCTAGGAATACTATTCTTTTCTACACATCAATACACTGACCTAATGCCTTTTCCATTTTACATAAGTGCTTACTATGCACTGTGGCTGTAACTTTCACAGCCTGAAGTGCATCTGCAAAGTGAGCAACTATTTCTTTTTCCTTCACAATTTCACAGAGTCATACTTTCCAGGTATATTAGCAACCTCAGTATAGGATTCTTTTTTGCTTTCCCTGTGAAGCTAAGAATGGTAACTTTCAATTTAAAGGAGGCATTTTATGACTTTTCTTTGGCATACTATGAAATGCTAGCATCACTATCCTTGTGCCTTGGTAAAATACAGGTTCCTGAACACAAGCACTGCAAAATCCTAACAACTAATCTGGTAACCAAGGTGGCCACAGGTGACTAACAAGCAGGTGGTTTATACAGCATCGATACTGACCCTACTGGCCAAGCTCACTCACCATCTGAGTGTGCTGGAGGAGGACCAGGAGACCGGGAAACTTTAGCATCCACTCAGAACAGCATACACTTTTAAAATATGTGACCTGCCAACTTCTGGGATTCTTTTTCCATTTAATATTTTCAGATTGCAGTTGATTATAATTAATTGTAACCACAAAAGTGTAAGGGAACATTAATCTGTTTATAAACACACACACAAAGAACGCTTTCAGTATCCTTCAAATAGTGAAACTAAAGCTTGTTCTTCCTACCTCCCTAGATGTTTCCCACAAGCATTTCTGATTAAATGCCTACTTCAGATGCTCTCTAAACCAGAACACAGTCACATTTTCCATATGAACTCTCCCTGAAGTCAGAATTTGAATTTATAATGAGTAGAATAGCAAGAACTCTTTCCTGGGTGTCAATTCTGAATATCTAGATTGAAATCTTCTGTAACATACTTCCATACCATACAGATGTATTAAAATAATATTGGTAAACTATGTGTCATCCAGTGGCATCACACACCTGCTTCCAAAGTACCCAGTCCCACCAAGTGGAGATCTGCAACACTTCTCATTTCGATGAAGTAATATTTTCTTCTCACTTGTTGGATGAGAGGAATTTAACTCCTTTAAGACTGGAAATCAAGTGTGGCATCTTTTCATTAAAAAAAGATTATAAAGGAGAAAAGTGATTGCTTCTTAATGATTCATAAATGACTCCTAAGTCTTTTATTCTACTTTATTTAAAAACTGTTCTTCTTGAAGTTTCAATTTAAAGTCCTCTCGGATTCTTTCTAGCAACTCTGGTTTAAAAATTACATCCAATGCAGTCATTGCCAGAGCTTTGGCTGTACGCAGTGTGTAGAACTGGGCTTCCTGTGCACCTAAAGAAGATAAAATACCTGCATTTTTTATCAAAAACTTACTTCATTTCCCCAGGGAAACCTTTGCATCTAACAGGCATCTCCAAGAGCCTATCACACCGCAGCATTCTCCCAGGCAGTGAAATAATCAGCTACAGTGAACAGTTAAAAGGCAACTACTGGAGGAAAAGAAGACCTGTGCCAGACACGCCCGCCTGCCCACTCACCTGCAGCTTCAGTGTACTGCTCAGTATGATTCAAGGCATCAGAGCCAATGTAAAAGTAGGGATGGATCCCTGGAACTACAAAGGTCACATTTCCAAAATCAGTAGATCCTTCAAAAACACAAATTAATAATAGTTACTTCCATATTCTTTGACTTTCAAAGCTATAATCAGAACTCTGCACTTGACTGTTGTCATTCACCCTGCTGGAGCAGACTGTGACGGTGAATGTTTGCATGCATCCAAACGCCCCTGCTTTCACTTCACCTGCCACCAAGTCCCCTCTCTGACTCCAGGCTGCTTCTGCCTGTGTTGCAGGGTGAAGGACGCAAAGCATGGCAGCAACCTCGTTTCTTGTACATGAAAGAAGAATTTTCATGCAGACAATTCCAGTTTGCAAAGCAGGATTTATTTAGGAAAAAAATGGAGAAAGAGTGTCCTGCCATGCCATGCACATGCTCCATGTGTCCCAAGGAAAAACTCCAGGCCACCTGCCATAGTGGAAGGAGAAACAAAGAAAAAAAAAAAAAACCAAAAAACGAGGCAATGGTGGAAATGGTGTCCTTTTGCCCCATCTCAGGGGAGTCTCTCCACGAGTGAAGGAAAGAATTTGTTCTGAATAACACCTGTTCTGAAACAAAGAGCCTCTGAAGGTTGGGATTGTTAACTTCCTCGTTCCCCTTCTGATGATAAGCAGATCATTCAGACACTATCTCCTTGATATTGAACAGCTCAAAGTAAAACTATATTTATATGACTATGTCAGCCAGTGGATTCTGAATAGATTTCATCCCAATTGAAATGGCAAGACTGTCAGCAATTCAGACCTGTAGAACTATTAAAACTGCTTAAACAGGACCCTCAAAGTGTGCCTCACATCTGGGACCTGGGATGGGTGGGAGACTGGGTGGGGATTTTTTCCATTGCTTCTCCCCTACCACAGATACTGGGGGGTGGGGGGGTGGGGAAGGATGATATTAATGTGGAAATAATGGTATTACTCACTTTCCTGTAGCCCTTGACCCTTTGTACCCTAATCAAATAAGTAAGATTATTTTTAAAAACCCAAAAAACTATATTTATATATAAAACTATATTTATTCAGGGAACATTTCTAAGATGCTTTTTATAGCAAACACCATGACAGGCAAAGTTAGACTGCATGCAAGCAAGTAGTAAGGGAATAAAAGCAAAATATATAACACAGCAGTGAACACTCATCTGGAATGACCAAGTTCCACAGTGTAATTTAAATTGTGATTCACAGTGTAATTTAAATTCTGATTAGCATTTTGGACAGTTTTCATTTTGCATATGAAGAGATCAGTTTATAGATATTAAACACTGGGCCCACAGTCTCACAGCTATTAGTTTTGTGGTAAAGCTAAGCCAAGGCAAGGGTTTTAGGTAATGCACTGAGCACCAAGCTGCCCAGCAACGGCTCCAGACACTTCACACATATTGATGGCATAACCCTGAACAAGACAAAAAGCCTGCTGCTCACTTTCAGGATTTCATCTGTAGGGCCAGACACTAGCTAAACCCAAACCCTGGTGACATTTCACCACATGCTTTCCTTCTTGCAGCTGAATTGCAGAAAGCTGCTAGGCTAGGGTGAAAGTTCAGGACTGTCAAGATTACCCAACAACAAACTGAGGGCTTCAAAGCTAAGTTGAGCTCTTAGTGCTGTCCAGAAAGTACACATGCCCCAGGCCAACTCCTCTCGGTGGTAATTCTCTGTCTTAAATCCAACAACTTCTTAGGGCATCTCTGTACTCCTTGCCCCACCTCCTGAACACACCTGCATCTATTTCTCAAGTGTCATCCTTTAATAAGATTATTTTCTCCATAAGCGTGTATCTGCTTTATTTCCCTTTAAAGATAATCTTAAGCGAGAACAGCCTCCCTGCACTCTCTGCTCTGTCTCACCACTCAGTGCAGTGGGTAGGGAAGTGAGACACCGCCAACGCCCTGCTGCTTTTCAACTGTTTGCTCCCTGACCTTCTATGGATTTCCCCTGCTAATCTGATGGACACTCGACCAACAGCACCTGACATGATTCCCTCCTCCGTCCCTCCTACATGTTCTCTCCTCTCTTGGCTTCCATGATGCTAAGCTTTCCCTCTGACCTCTATTTGTCCTTTTCTAGATCCCTTCTTTTCCTTTCTCTCTTAAAAGCTGCAGGTCCCAGACTTCCTCCACAGGCATCTTTTCCCTCTGTACTCAGGCAACCAAATGAACCAAATGAAATGTGTTTGATTACTTCCCACATATCAACAGCTCCTGAATCTCCAGCATAAACTTCTCTAGGAGGTCTAATAGTAAATAAATAATAAATGGCTCCACTTAGAAATCCTAGATGCACCCCAGGTTTGACAAGCTAATAACTAAATCATCCTGCTACCGCAACCTGCTCTTCCTTTTGAACTCCTCATCTCAACAACCAATATTAATGCCCCATTTTTATCACCTACTGAGTTCTTTCGGATCAACTTCACCAACATTCATTATTATTTTAGAAAGCATTAGTAATATGCTTTTAAAGGAAAAAAAAATTCTAAAGTGACATATTTTACATTCCGATAGTTATCTGTCACTCCTTGGAAACTAAAATGGCTCTAGATAACGAAGTAATTTAAAAAATGCCTATTGAGATGACTCATAATGAACAAAAATGTTACTTTCTGCTTTAGCAGATTTGACTTAAAGTTAGAATTGAGGCAGGAGGAGGAGTTTAGTATAACAACTTGGACACTTGTAACCTATACAGGAGCCCCTAGTTTGAGTCCTGTCAGCTTCGGATATAGCTCCCTGCTAAGGCATACCCTGGAGGCAGCAGATGATGGCTCAAGCGGTTGGGACCCAGAGGAAGACCTGGATCAAGTTCCAGGCTTCTTGCTTTGGCCTGAACACGCCTGGCTCTTGTGGGCATTTGGGGAGTAGATTGACTGATCAAAGGTTTCTCTCTCTCTGCTTTTCAAATAGAAATAAAAAAAAAATTAAAAACCAGAACTAAGCAAATGCAGACCTTAGAAATGCTTAGATTATAGACTGAAAGAGTACACAGGCTTTTTCTAAGATGGAGTCTGTATTTTTTTTCTTTTTTTTTTTTTGAGTCTGTACTTTTGACATTTTACACTCTTTGATTGTATGAGTCCATCAGTTTTTTTGCCCTCAGAAAATGGAAAAAGATGATTGAAACATCATCAATACCTAACTTCCAAAAGAACAAAACCATTTAACCAAAAACCATGCCTCTCTTCCTCAACTGCCTCAAGATGTAATAAAAGAACTAATTACCTGAAGGGCCATTCAGTGTTGCATCTTCTGAAATGAAATCTATTCCCAGTTTTTTTCCATTTTCCATATATGCTTTCCATAGGCTCTTGTTGGGAAGAACATTGTAATAATCATGTGCTCCACCTTTAATTTCTATCTAGTAAAAAAAAAATCACAAAACAAACTGTGAAACAAAAACTTTCAAATGCACTAATTGTCAAAGCAATGATAGTTCTCTAACAGGAAGAGATTTTAAGAGAAAGTGGTTTCCCTTCGAGATGAAAACTCCCTGAAACCTCTTTACCTTAAACAATGCATACTGTTTTATGTTACATATGCACCAAACACACAACGTCACCAAATTCTATACTAGCCAGTAAGTGTCAGTTTTAGTCATCTTACTAGGATGTGGGAAGAGCTTGGAAATTTCTGTCTTAATTGTCATCCCTAATTCTGTTGCAGGAAGGTCTAAAACACCACACTTTGTGGGCTGTCATTGCGGTGTATTGGGTTAAGCCACTGCCTGCAACACTGGCATTCCATGGAGTGCTGGTTTAAGTCCTTGTGCCCTGTTTCCAATGCAGCTCCCTGCTAATAGGATATTAGTATCCCTGGATATATAATGTTTGTATTATATATTATAATGTAATAACAATAGGATATATAATATCCCTGCCTAGGATAAATGAGCCCCTGTTGCCCATGTGGGAGATCCAGAGGGGTTTCAGGTGCTTGGTTTTGGACTGCCACAGTCCTGGCCACTATAGCCATTTTGGAGAGTGAATCAGTGGGTGGAAGATCTCTCCTCTTTCACTCTAACTCTTGCCTTTCAAATAAATCTTTCCAAACCAAAATAAAACAAAACAGAACAAAAAGCAAGCAGACAAACCACATTCTGAAGGACATTATGTAGGACTCACTCTCCAAAAGAAGCTAAGCCTTACTAAGATACAACACACAAACTGATACTGAAACAGCTGCCTGGTCTGAAAGTAAATGATGTTGGGGAGGGCGTCTGCACAGCAGTTGAGATGTTACTTGGGATGCCCATGTCTCATACTGGAGTGCCTGGGTTCGAGTCCTGGCTCGGCTTCCAGTTCCTTGCTGACTGTGTATCCTGGGAAGCAGGGAGTTGTTTAGCTCAGATACAGTGCTTCTCTGCCACCGTCGGCTTGAATTCTTGGCTCCTGGCTTCAGCATGGCCCAGCCCTGGCCACCAAGGCCCTTTGGGGAGTAAATCAGCAGATGGAGGACCTCTCTTTCTTTCTCTCTTTCTGTCTTTCCCCCTTTTTGTAATCTTGCTTTTCAAATAAACGAATATTTTTTTAAATAAATTAAAAGCAAAGTTCAACTAAGCAATACCTGTTGACTAACTTCTGTGACTGTTGCCATTTGCATTCCAATAAATCAAAAGTATTTACATCTCTATCGCACATTTACAGAAATACTTCACCAAAAATAGCTTCTTCTGATTTTGTCATAAATTTCGTAGGAACTATACAAGGCAATTCTACATTAAGTAAAAAGTCTAAGCATTTAATACTCCTACATTAACTGCTTAGTCAACTCAATTGCACACTGAAGGTATCACTAAATGAAAGAGGCATTTTAAGCTCCAATCTAACTTTATGTGTAACAACCCAGCCCACATCTATATCTCTGATTCTAACTTAGAGTAACTCTGAAAGGTTCTTACTGTGCACCCAGTAGCCAAAGCTGCAGCTCGGAAGCAATCTTCTGCCATATTGGTTAAAACTTGAAGCTCTTTCATTGAGGGTGCACGGAAGTAGTACATTAATTCAGAATAACAGGGAATGATATTGGGTTTTACACCACCATTTTTTATTATACCTACAAAAAGAATCAGATTACTGGAATTAAGCTTGGTGACCATTTCTTTAAGCTTAAACACACCCATGCAATTTTTCAGTCGAAATGTTCATAAATAAAGAGCATATTAAATTATTACCTTCACCAATATATTGATTTCATACAATATAAATTTTTTACATGGAGTATTAGTTCCTAATTAATAGGAACACAATAGTATTATTTATATAAGGAGCCAATATGTTAAAAAATTATAACAAACGGAGACTCTGTGATGGACTATGTCAATCAGTGGATTCTTCAACAACCTTATTGTTCTCGGAGTGGCAAGACTGGCAGCAATTCATAACTGTTGAACTATCAAAATCACTTGAGCAAGACCCTCGGAGCATGCCCTACATCCGGGACCTGGGGTGGGTGGGAGACTGGGTGAGCCTTCTCCCTCAATATCCCCCTTTAAACATGAAGGAAACAATATGGAAATGATAGTCTTACCCACTTTCCTATAGCTCTTGAACGTTTTTACCCTAATTAACTATGTAAAGATTGTCAAAATTAAAAAAAATTTTTAAATAAAAATAAAAAATAAAAATAGAAATTATCTAGCTACAAAAATAAACATAGCAACATCTTGAGATTTCTGGAAAATATTTTTATTTTGGTAGGCTTTATTATAATTAGAAAATTTGCTAAACTATTGACATTTTTTCAAAATAAATTCAAAATAAATTTAGGTCATTTTCCACGAACTTTTTGAAGTATTTGTATATCATTATTCTTGTACTTTAAGAATTCCATGAATATTTCAAAATGGCATCATCTAAGAAAAATAGTTTTAATGCTAAAAAGAAACCAACGCATGGCATCTAGATGCTGTAAATAGTCCAAACAAAGCAATTTGTTTAGAACTATATAGAATGAAGATTTATCATTCTGGGGACTGATGATGTAGCATAGTAAGTTAAGGCACTGCCTGTGACACAGGCATCCCACATGGGCACCTATGCAAGTCCCAGCAGCTCCAATTCTGATTCAGTTCCCTGTTAATGGCCTGGGAAAAGCAGAAGATGGTCCAAGTGTTGGGCCCCTGCCAACCACTCCTGACCTAGTCCCAACCATGGGGGTGGGGTGGGGAATAAACCAGTGAACAGAGAAGTTCAGTATGTGTGTGTGTGACTTCCTTTCTCTGTGTAACTCTTTCAAATAAATAAATAAACCTTATTAAAAGATTTATTCACCCAAACTAACAACTCAAATATGTATGTAAGATCTAATTTTATATGACCTACATTAAAAAATATTTCTATAAATGCATTTGATCAAGAAACTAAGGCAGGATATTGGCAAAAGTACAATTATACACTGATGCCAGCCTGTAGGAAAATCAGATAAAAGAATAAATATTAAGGTATAAAGTGTCTTAAATCATAAGGAAGTAAGCTTCTGCATTACTTACTATTGTATTTTTACATTGGAATGAGATATAATTTTAAAAGATGTTACTCAAGACTTTATCACACTTTGTTTTGTTTTTTAATTTTTATTTTTGAAATTTATCGTATAATTCTGTATAGTCTGGGATTTCCCTCCCCCCATTTTCTGCTGCCTGACTGATTTTTCCCATAATGTCACACTCTTCATAAGGAGTTACAATTCCATCAGTTTGCTATTTAAGTGTGCCCCGACAACTATGGTAGGCAATATCAGACAGCCATCATCTCATTGTCTAGCTATATCCAACACTTCCGGTGGGAGTCCATCTTTTGTTTGGAAGCAGAGGTGCATGTGTGTCTTCACTTCTGGATATGATAGTCTTTATTACTCCACCACCACACATTCCAATTTGCATGATAAATTTGTTATATTAGAGAAAACATATGGTATTTCTCTCTTTGTGGTTGACTTATTTTACTGAGCATGATGGTCTCTAGTTGGAGCCATCTAGTTGCAAATTATACAAGTTAATTCTTTTTAATGGCTGAATAATACTCCACAGAGTAGATGTACCAAAGTTTCAAAAGATGTAATTCAAAACTTTATAGCACTTTAAATAAAGGAAACCAGGAATCACCCTGCTTAAAAATTGGGGTCATGACATTTTGTCATGATCATTTTTTTTATTTTTAACATTTATTGATTTTACTTGAAATAGTTAACAGAGGCAGAGGGAGACACCTTCATGTGCTGGTTCACTCCCTACATGGCCAATGTGGCCAGAACTGGACGGTCCATAGATGGGATCCAGGAGCTTTTCCCAGGTCTCCCACATGGGTGCACAGATCCAAGGACTTGGGCAAACCTCTGCTGCTTTCCCAGGTCATAAGCAGGGAACTAGATTGAGTGGAGCAGCCAGAATATGGATTGGTGCCCTCATGGGATACCAATACCACAGGCTGAGGATTAGCGAGTCACGCTACCATATTGGTTCCTTATCATGATCTTTTAACAAACAAGTTCTAATTTTCAAATCCCACAGGGGAGGAAAAAAACATAACTCTCCCCATAAAACTTGCATCTCTCTTTCAAAGATGACAATTCCATTTATTTACTATGATTTTAGCTGTCTTCCTACCCATGTACAGATTAATATCCTAACAGCCTGTCACAGACATGCCTGGAAATAAGCTTAAAAAGTTCAGAATGTTCATAAGAAGCATACAAAATGTTTTAAAATGTTTTTTAAAAATTAAGCAGCTCTGTCGCGTTGAACACACTGAGCAGCCTCCGTTATAGAAGGTGTTGACATTCCTACCATGAACCCTCCAGGCTGGCTTCATCTGCTGTCTCAACACAGACAGGTTGTTGTAGGCCAGAACCGCTGCATCCAAGGCATTGATTCCTTCCCAGGGGTAGGCAGCTGCATGGGAAGCCTTCCCATAGTATCTTACAGTCACACTAGAAAACAACAAGAAAGGGTTTCTTCCATTATCACTAAGGTAACAAAATTCAGAACTGCCCAATCCTCATGCAAAGTTCACTCACATGGCTGTAATTGTGACTTACACGCGATTTCCAGTTATAAGTGTCATTCACTTGTGTAAAAAGTTACAAAACAGAGTGTCTGACACAAAGAAGGCATTTCTAAAAGAGAAAAAGAGAACTTTGCTTGATAGATTTCCTACACCCACTAAACTTGTATGTAGTTCAATTCAAACAAGTATGCAATACTGTACTAGGTTCTAGAATTACAAAGTAAAGGGTTCCTGTCCCCTTTTTGCAATACTATAACAGCTCTGCTACTCTGCTACAAAAGTAGATAAGAACTCCTAATTTGATGAGGGCAAAAGTCAGGTCAAGACAAAAAAGAAGCTGCATTTGAAGCAGGTTAAGACAACATCTAAAATTTAGATTATACATAACTCACAACGTTACTCTAAGACACAATAGCATTGTCAGTTGTTCCTAACCAGTAATTTATTAATATTTTAAAAATATTTCTATCACTAATATTTTAGGATTTTACAAATTACTGCTACTCTATTTACAAGCAGTTCTCAAGCCAGCCTAACTACTGAGATGAAATTTTAAAAATTAGGTTTAGAAAAAGGATTGCATATTGGTCACTTATAAAGCTTAATGATTGTCTAGCTTAGTTAACATTTTTTAATCCAACTAATACTATTTACCTTTAGGTTTTTTTTTAAAAAGCACTCTGGGCTTGATTTAAAGTTCAAATATATTTTATCCTGAGACAACTTATGACATTATTTTTTCACTAAACACGATGCTTCTGATACTGTGGCACAGCACGTTAAGATCTTGCCTGCGACACCAGCGTCCCATATTGGAGTGTAAATCCAAGCTACTCTGCCTCCAGTCTAGATCTCTGCTACTGCACCTAAGAAAGCAGTGAAAGATGGTCCAAGAACCACCACCACGTGGGAGACAGAGATGGAGCGCTTAGCCTTGGCTTAGGCCTGAGCCAGCCCCAGCTGCTGTGGCTATTTGAGGAGTGAACCAGTGGGTGGACAAGCTCTCTCTCCCTCACTGGCTTTCCAATAAAGAAACAAACCTTTTAAAAAATGCCTCCATACCAAGTAAACAACAGTCAGTAAATGCAGAGTTCAACCTAGCATCAGTACCATTTCTTGTTATATCCTGGTGATAAGCAACCAGACAGATCCAAAATAATCACTAAATAACAGGCTTTCTGAAAGAGGTTTGCCAAATGTCATGCAAGAAAGATATCACATCATTATCTTCTGATGTATTTCGATTAAGGTTCTGAGTGTGTGTAAATGTTGCACAGCCTGCGGGCAGCTTTCTGCTGAGTTTACCTTCTGCTTGATTACTTACTCATGTTCAGCCACATCTGGTAGATAAGCTGCATTCTCTTGGGACGGATGGGCCATAAAAACAACATCAAGGTTTTGAAAAGCCCCTGCTTCAATCAAATCAATCTTGCCACCACCATCTTCTTCTGCAGGGGTTCCCAGAACAATCACCTGGAAGAAGGTAGCTATGTCAGAGCAAAGTAAGCCACAGAGTTCCCCCGAGGAAATATCAAGCAGGTTTCCTTGCCTATGTGTTCACAATCTACTTGCAAGTCCTTAAACTACAGAGGTTTGCTCTCTGACACTTACACAATGGTGCACAAATAGGATGCTACATGAAACCCCCAGATTGACATTGTTAAACCAACTTGCTACAAAGTATGCATTAGACACTTCAGGAAGCTCTCCCCCAGAATAGAGCAATTTTCTGTGACTGGGGACAGAGATGAGACAAGTTAAATGAGATACACTTAGCACCGTCAAATATGTTAGAATGCATTTCTTGAAGTTTCCTCCTAAGTTGTTTAGTACATGCATGAGGATCCGCAAGGACTTCATGGGGGAAGGAACTTGGCAGTTACTTGCTAGCTAGCTTCACAACAACCCTGTGAGGTAGGTGAGCACCTGTGCCACCACCAAGGCAGCCAGTGTGCTTTTGAGGAACACACTGCAAGATCTTGCCCCAGGCCACAAGGCAAGTCTTCAGACAGGGCTGGGATTAACAGGTGTCCTAACCTTCATTCCTGAACTCCGAGTTCTCACTGGGCTACCTATACAGGGTCTTAACTCACTCATCCTTTAGGAAAATCATTAAACAAATCTTAATACCATGGTTAGAAACGACCAACTATTACACAAACTTACTAATTCGATTCCACCAGTTCAACCAGGCAGATTTATTGGTCACCACACACCTAATTAAACAAAAGAGAACTTTACAGAATAAACATGTACTTTGATATTTAAGCTTAACTTCTTCAAACAGTTTTTTTTAAGTTAAAATTATGTTTAAACAACTAATATTTTCAAGGTCAAGTGTAAGAACACAAGGGAGCAAGCTAGAAAAAAAGCCTTGGCTTACAAAAGGAAATAAGTTAAATTCCATTTTCAGTTAAGACAGACAAACTTGCAAAAACTGAGGATATCCATTTGAAATTAGAAATTTATACATTTCCCAGAGTCTAGCTTTCTTCAGAAGTTATAAAACACCCAAACGTTTAAGTTAAGCTGATCTTCACTTTTAGGACTAAAATTTGATATATCTGTTGCTGGTTATGCAAAATCGTTCATAAACTTCATTAAGCTGAGTCTCTTCGGGGTTTTAGGCGATGACAAAGGACACTCCCTCAAAAAAAAAAAAAAACCCTAACCAAATGTAAAAATTACAAGCCCAGAAGCAGAAAAGAGAAGGCAACTGAAGATAACAGGCCACAGAACATGGAACTGTTACAAAGATCACTGACATGGAGAAAGACTGAACTAAAGAATATCAAACAGGCCAGTGCTGCAGTTCAGGGAAGAAAGCCACTGCTGGCGATGCTGGCTTCCCACGTGGGCTCAGTGCAAGGCCCCACCGCCCACATTCCATCCAGCTTCCCGCTAGAGCGCCTAGCAAAGCAGTGAAGGCTGACCCCAGCTGCTCCGGTCCCTACACCCACGTCCGGGCTCCTGGCTTCCTTCATTTGGGGAGTGAACCAGCCAATGGAAGTTCTGTCTCGCCCCATCTCTCTAACTCAAGCCTTTCAAATAAATAAAATTGATCTTCAAAAAACACACAAAGAATAAGACTATAAAGACAGGTGTCTTCCCCTTACTCTGAGTGATAAGTTAATCTGAACTCCCAGAATGAATATACCCTTTGGAAAAACAGAGTAGCCGGGAATACCAATAGATGACATTTCTCTCTCTAAGACTAGACAGAGATATGACTTAACACCATAAAATACAAATTAAGACTTAAGAGAAACTCATCAGCCTCGTTTTATTGTATACTTCAAGGGCTTTTAAGCCCACAGCAGCTCCTACGATTGTCATACACACACACACACACACACACACACACACACACACACACACACACACACATCTTTTGGAACTTATTAAAGAATTAAAGAGAGGCTGTAGCACACACACAAATTACTTGCTCTAGAGATTGCATAATCTTGACTGCAGATTGCGGTGGCCTCAGCCACTAAAAATAACCTATCAGGAAAAATCAGGCTTGGTTCTATGCTCCTTCCTGAGGGACAGATTATGGAGTTGTTTACGCCAGCATACGGGGTCACACAAGTCTGCCTGCAAAAGGTCGCGGGGTCGGCAGCATGTGAACTCCCGCCTCTCACTTCCAAGGGTTTGTCCTGGCTTTTGGCAAAGGCGAACCGTTGCCAGCGATTAGAATGCACAGAAGCCTTGGGATCCCCAGGTCGCTCCGGGCAGTAGGAGAAGGGTGAAGGTGCGCGCCCGGGATCCCACCTCACCTTGACCGGTGGAGTCGGTCCGGGGAAGGCCTCCAGGGCCCCCCTCACGCCCAGCGCGGCCGCCGCTCCGACCTCAGCGATGAGGTTGTGGCCGCAGGCGTGCCCGATGCCTGGCAGCGCGTCGTACTCGCAGAGGAAGCCCAGGTGCAGCGGGCGCGATGCGGCGCTTTGCGCATCGCCGCCCGCCCGCTGCCACTCGGCGCGGAAGGCCGTGGGCAGATGATAGTGTGGCTGCACCGCCCAGGAGGCGGCAGGGGGTTCGTGCTCAAAGAAGCGGGTCAGCACGCGGTGGGCATGGTGCTCTTCGTAGGCCAGCTCGGGCTCGCTCCAGATGGCGCTGCTCAGGGTCCCCAGGCGCTCGGCCGCCTCGTCGATGCGCTCTGCCGCGCGCCGCTTCAGCAGCTCCAGCTCGGAGACAGAGACGCACGCGCCCTCCTCCACCGGCCGCTCCTCTCCGGGTCTCATCGCGTCCTGGGCAGGTGACCCTCGGCCGTCCGTGCGCTCGTTGCCTCGCAGTTGCCCACTGAGCCTTCGTGGCACCCAGCAGCCCGGCTCACCCCGGCGACGCGCGGGCCCGCCCCGGGGAAGGCGGAGTTCTGGACTTGCAAGCACTTTCTGGACTGCTGGCAGTGTTGTGTCTTCCATTGCCCCGGCGGGCGTGGCGACTGAATTCTCGGATTGAATTCTCGCCTACGGACGTGATTACTTCTTGTTGCTGCTCCCTCGGCGGCGGGTCCAGAGTAGTTTCAGTGTCTAGGAACACAAGCGCAGACCAAAAGACACAATAATCCACCGAAACACTCTGTTCTTTCTAACAATAAAAGTATTGTACCAGGTTTTTAGTTCCCAAAAGAGGGTCAGAATGAAGAGTTCTGCTCTGTGAGCTTCCAACACCTTAGCTGTCAGTTCTGTCTTTGCCGTTTTCTCCTTGAGGTTCAATTACCTAACACTACCACGAAGCCAGCCGATTTTGTCACTATAGATGCAAATGTATATCGTGTTTCACAACACCGAGAGTAAGCTCACGACAGGTGCTAGTCGTTATAGTCTATTTGAATACAGTACAACTAGGAATTTTTAATGTGTTTAAAAACCAAAGAGGTAAAAGTTTCCCTATGTAATAAATATTCATACTGTTTGTTTTGTTGACGTGGAGTTATTTTTAGCAGTGTCGCAAACACCAAGCCGGTCACTCGGACAAACGCCACGAGTAGAGAGAGTGGATGCTTTGCAATCAAGCGTTTATTCAAGCGAGCACACACCGAACAGGACAGGGGAAGCCACCGAGAGCGCCCTTGACTTCGGAAGTCTGCTGGGCTTTGGCTCCGGCCTCGGGAGCCTGCAAGTTTCAGATGGAAACCCAACCGCTTTGGCTCCGGTCTAGTGGGAGCCTGCTGGCTTCCGTGACTGGGACCAAGGCGTGGGTTTTTATACAATTCAGGGGGTCAGGCAAGCAGTTGTTACAACGTTTTGATTGGTTATTACATGTTATCTATCAGCCACACCTGCCTTCTCTTAGTTCTGAGAAACATGTTTTTTTTAACATATTTATCAAGACACATTTTTCTTCTTTTATCATTTTTACCATAACTTGTTTTTTATGACATGCTTACGTACATTAGGGCTTTGTGACAGGAGTGAAAGGAGAGGGCTTACGCACATGGGAGCTTCTTGACAAGGATGATAAAGGCGGGCTTGCACACAGGGGAGTCTGACAGCAGTGATAGGAGAGGAGCCCCATTTCACCAGCAGCTTAGGAAGATGGAGTCACCTCTGCTCAAAAGCTCCAACATACACACTATATCCATTATTAAGTCACAGCATAACTTACAGAAAAGGTCTATTATTGTAGCTATTTCTGGGTCATCAATCTCAGATACAAGTGCAGTGATATTAAGGATATAATTAAGATTACTGATAATATTACTACCCTTTTTTCCCATGGATTTATTTTTATCTATACCCACTTAAGTATGTATTGATGGAGCAGTGTAGATGCAGATGGGAGTAAATAAACACTTATAACCAGACTGTTCCTATCAAGCAGTCACAGCTTTGATGGAGAATATATGACTAATTTATAATTTTAATTGATGCCGAACTCAAGTAACGTGATATATGCAGCTGGTGTTCATATTGAAGCTGGGAGTTAGATTACCCAAAGAAGAAATTCAAGATGCTGTACTCCTGTTTTTCTCCAGAGTGGGGCCCAGAGTGTGTGTGGAACGCTGTGGGGGATGGCGGGCATCCTGATCACATGGTGCAGCTTTTTATTGAAGGGTTCCCACATACTGAAAGCCTCTAGTGGGTCTTCCTACTCTATCCAATCCTTTCCCTTGACTTCCCACAACTAGACTAACTGGGACACCGTCCCTGTAGTTTTGGAAGCTGTCGGAAGTTAACAAAGACTGCGGAGTGCTGTTTATACTCTGAGTGTTGACGGTCACAGAGTAACTGTCACACTGCAATCCAAACACACGATCCTTCTGCTGTTACCTTGGAACTCAGCCCCGAAGACAACAAAAGTGGTGTCAGATGCCTGTGCCCTTCAGGCTACACTTACAGACTTTATCTGGTAGACTTCTAAGATCTCCCCCTCGTCTTTGAGATTCAGTTCAGCTGTACCCAGTTGGGGTGCACACATGCACACCCCCACACACATACACACAAAGCACTGTCAAAGTGAAAATGTTGTGCCGGATTTTGAAATCCCCAGATAATCATCAAGTCTGAAGTCGGTGCTAAGGCATAAAGGTGGTTTATTGGTTTATTCAGGTTAACCTTGGTCTTCCAGCCACCTCCCCAGGACCAGCATGGCTGGGTGGGGGAGGGGCAGCCGCAGTGAGGCTGCTGCAGGATCCGCAGGGAGGGCAAAAACAAGCACAAGCCAGAGTGAGAGTCCAAGCCCCCCAGTTCTTATACATTTCAGGCTATTAATTATACAGTCAAGCTTTAGCAGGCTTCTATTGGTGGGTCAGAAGCAAGCAACTTTCAAAAAATACAAACTGATGAGCTATAGGGTGGTGAATCTTATCAAACACCAGGTACCTCTTTCCCAAGGAGTGGTCTGCCTACGTGACCTGCCAGGTGTCCTGCCGGGTGTCACGTATGTAGACTATCAGGGCTGGAGTTCACATAGCTCCCAGCCAAGCCATTAAGGCAGGAATTACAAAAGGCAGAAAACACCTAGGTTCTTCAAAAACAATCCGTAATATGTGTAGAATACTTACTTGGTGCCAGGTACTGCTCCAAGTGATTTCCGTGTTTACACATTTAATCCTCCTCACAGCTCGAGAGGTTGTTAATGTGATCATTTGTTATCACTTTACAGCTGAACATCCATGCAGTGATGAAACCAAGCTATGGGACCAAGCAGAGAAGAGAAGCTGGAGTGCTGTTAGTGGACTGCTTCAACCTGCCAGGCTCTGTGTAAACAGGAACCCCATCTATAAAGGAATCTACAGCTCACCTGCTTCCATCAGAACCCACAACAATAACCTGTTTTGAAGAAACTACTGCAGCAACTTTTTAACAAATATTTACTCATTTTTATTTGAAATGCAGATTTACAGAGAGAGTAGAGGCACAGTGATCTCCATTGACTGATTCATTCCCCATATGGCCCCAATGGCCAGAGCTGGGCCAGGCAGAGGCCAGGAGCCAGGAGCTTCTTCAGGATCTCCCATCTAGGCACAGGGTTCCAAGGACTTGGGACATCTTTCACTGCTTTCCCAAGCACATTAGGAGGGAACTGGGTCAGAGGTAAATGAGCTGGGACTCAAACCACTGCCCCTGTGGGATGCTGGCACTACAGCAGAGGCTTACTTTACTGTAACATGGCACTGGGCCCTGCTGCAACTTAAAAAAAAAAAATTATGAATTTTGAAAATCAAGAGTTACAGGAGGGAGTAAAAAAGGGAAAGAAATTCTTCCATCTGCTGCTTTACTCCTTAGATGTTCGCTATCGCCAGGCAGAAACTGGACCAGGCAGAAGCCAGGAGCCAGATTTTCCCAGGTCTTGCATGTTGGTGTTAAGGGCACACATACTTGGGCCATCATATGTTGTTTTTTTCCAGTGTTATCAGGAAGCTGTATTGGAAGTGGAGCAGCCTGCACTTGAACCGGCATCCATGAGATGTCTCTTAGGCAGCAGCTTTACCTGCTTTGCCACCAGGATGACCCCTACAGCCGCAACTCTTCCTGCTGTCATCAGTAAGACTCATCAGTCAGCAATAAACAGCTCAGAGTGACGGGTTTATATACATATATATATATGTATAAAATATTTATATGAAATAAAATATATTTAATGTATGTTTACTGCTTGTTGCAAATAAGCAAAGCTAACACTTTAGGAAACAAAAGAAATTTATTCTGAACTTTGTTCTGTGTATGCCTGTGCACACATGCACAAGCATTAGGTTTCTGTTGTTGAAATGCTATATTTCTATTTCATGTTACTGTGTATCCTTGAATTAATTGTTTTTGAGATTATTTATTTATTTCAAAGGCAGGTTTACAGAAAGAGATTGGGGGGGGGGGTGAAAGAGACACCTTTCATCATCTGCTGGTTCATTCTCCAAATGGCAGCAATGACAACGGTTGGGCCAGGCCAAAACTAGGAGCCAGGAGTTCCAGCTGATGGGCCTGGGGTGATAAATTAGCAGCTAAAGTCCTTGCCTTTCATGCACCCAGATCCCATGTGGGCGCCAGTTCTAATCCCGGCAGCCCTGCTTCCCATTCAGCTCCCTGTTTGCGGCCTGGGAAAGCAGTCGAGGACAGCCCAAAGCCTTGGGACCCTGCACCTGCATGGGAGACCTGGAAGAAGCTCCTTGCTCCTGGCTTAAGATTAGTGCAGCTCAGCTCAGCTCTGGCCACTTGGGAATGAATCAGCAAAATATTTCCTCTCTGCCTCTCCTCCTCTCTATATCTGCCTTTCCAATAATTTTTGTTTTTACAAATAAATCTTTAGAAATTAAAAAAAGGAGTTCCATCTGGATCTTCCACATAGGGAAAGGGGTCCAAGCACATGGGTTGTCGGCTGCTGCTCTCCCTGGTGCATTAGCAGGAGGCTGGATCTGAGGTAGGACAGCTGGGACTCAAATCAGTGCTTACAGCAGATGTAGGCATTGCAGGTGGCTATTTAACCTCACAGGCCACAAGGCTGGACCATGCCTGAATTTATGGACTAAATCTCGATCATGTGTTGAATGTAAATCTTTCCCTATAGTATTTAAACTCATTTGTTTTCTCATTGCATTCCATAGTACCTATCACAGTATGAACATGTTTTGGAAAAACCCAGGTATATAAAAACTGGTGACCAAGAGACCAAAGAGGAAAATAAATCCAGAGTTTAATTCATTAGGGACTTAGAACAGAAGTATTTCTCTCATGGCAATAGGGTAAGAAGATTCCCCCATACCACAAGGTAGAAGAAAAATGGTTGAGGTGCTAAGCTGGAGAAAGGTAACCCAAACCAAACTAAAGCCTACTTGGACTTTTTCAAGAAACATCAATATTTCAGACTTCAGATGAGACA